TGTATGTTAACGGTCAATATCGCGCGTAGCCAAGGCGGAAGGCAGCATCGTCGGCAGCTTGGAGTTCTGTACTGGAAAGTTGGGCAGCCGCTTGGTGCTGGTCCTGGGCCACACGAAGTGTGGTGCCGTCTATGGCGCCACCAAGACGTTTCTAGATGCCCAGGGTTTTTCCAAGAAACCGGGCTCTGCGCTGCAAGGGCTTCTGCAGGACTTGGGCGTGGTTGCCCAGCAGGCCCAGGAGGAAATGGGTCCTGGCGCAAACGCGGATGCCATCGCGGCCCACGCGGTTCAGGTGAACGTTTTCCACACCATGAACTTTCTGCTGAGCTTCAGTGAGTCCATCCGTGAGGCTGTGAGAAGCGGTCAGATTGAGATCCACGGTGGCATCTACGATCTGGAGACAGGCAGTGTGGAATTCTTGGGGAAGAGCCCGCAGCAGGCCCAGCTGCTGGAGTCCAGCATGCCTGTCCCACCTTCCATGTCGAGCGGCGCAGCAGCCGACCATGGAATGCACGGCGTCCGTACTGGGGCCGACGTTGCAGTGAAGCCCGAGGCGGCACTGAAGCTGCTGAAGCAGGGCAACGAGCGCTTCGCCGTCGGCGCCCACCTCCACGGACATGCGCGAGGCCTTGGTGAAGTGCGGCCAGGCGCCCCACAGCGCCATCCTTGGCTGTGCGGACTTGCGAGTGCCCGTCAACACCGTCTTCGACGCGATGCCCGGAGACCTCTTCGTGCTCCGCAACGCCGGCAACACCTGCACTCACGCAGCTCGGTGATCCAGGTAGCTGACTAGACTGGGCATGATGTAGTTTCAGAAGTAAGCATGAGGCAGAAGGGAGCATCGTTGGCAGCTTGGAGTTCTGCACTGGCAAGCTGGGCGCCCAGCTGGTCCTGGTGCTGGGGCACACGCAGTGCGTGGCCGGAGCTACGAATTCCACTCCATGACAGCAAGCCGAGCTGCTGTCCTCCAAGCGCTCCGTGCCGCCATCCATCCAGTGCGCCACGATCCGAACCGCCCAGAGCGAGCCAGTGATGCCACAGGATGCCCTGGCCATGCTGAAGGATGGCAACAAGCGCTTTGCAGTGGGTGCCCCCACAGCTGGCAAAGTCCACCAGAGCATGCGCGCAGATTTGAACAACATGGGCCAAGCTCCCCACACTGCTCTGCTTTTCTGTGCGGATTCGCGCGTGCCCCTGGAAACCGTCTTTGATGCCCTTCCTGGGGACCTCTTTGTGTTGCGCAACGCTGGCAACACCCTGCACACATGCCGAGGGCAGCGTGCTTGGCAGCCTGGAGTTCTGCACCGGTGCGCTGAACACCCGGCTGATCTTCGTGCACGGGCACACGGCCTGCGGTGCCATCAAGGGTGCCACCAAGGCCTACCTGGACTCCAAGAAATCGAAATCCAGCGTGGCCAAGGACTGCAGTTTTCTGAGCGT